ATAAAAAAAAAAATATACATAAAATGTCTGAGATATATATATATATATATATATATATATATATATATATATATATATATATATATATATATATATACTTGACATTTAATATGGAATATTTCAGTTTTAAAGGTATACCTAGGTAAATATGCGTTCTTTATTTAAAAAACTCAGATCTCACATAAGATATCTGACTGGAGAAGTGTGATGTCAGGTGTGTCGCTACCAATTAACTGATTACCAAGTCTGTTGCACCGCTGCATTGTGTAATATGCAGTGATTTAATTGGGTAGTGCTCCTTTGGGCTGGTCAAAGCTTGGCTTTGGCGAAGCATGGTTCTGTCAAAAAAGTATCCATATGTCGGCAACTACTGCATAGAAGAATTTGAAATTTTGTATGCAAGTGGTCGGTTTTGTAGTGCGTAAAATGAGTTAAGCAGTGTTTTACAAAATTGTAAAGCTGTGCCAGAATGGCGCGAAAAAGACAGATATTGCCCGACAGATTATTGCGCAAAACGGAACGGTCCGCATTGTTTCATAGAGTAATGCCAAGACTTATGCACCCAAACAGAGACCACGCCCAACGTATCGATATCTTACCACCTGGGTAAAGGACTCAATGTCCTTCAGGATATGCTGCTGCAATTAAATCAAAACCACCCAGTCCGTTTTTGATGAGGGGCAAATTGTCACCAAAACGCGTTTTTCGAGGCCCTTAGCGAACACCAAACTGGTTTCAGCAGGTTAGGAAAACAGGCCACCTCTGAGGGAGCCAGTGTAAACAGCAAAACAGCGTAGTCTGTTTCTCTAATGAATTGGGGACCATGACCGTTTCTTGGTAGAACATTGAAACCGCGTGTTTTTCTTTATTGAGGTCAGATATCACCTGTACCACTAAATTGGTCAAAACAGAGTTTACAGACATCCAGAAGAGGTCTACGACATGGCGTGTGCCGCTTCTGAAGTGACTAGGGTCATTGACAGCGTCAATATTTGGAGTGGATGCCACATTGGTGCCAAAACACCAATGGAAATCATCGATGAAAACTTGAACCAGATCAAACAAAGGAATAATCTGGGAACCACTTGACTATCATTTGATAGGGGCACCTTAGGAACAGTTTAGGTTGCACGATGAGATTGACGGTTCACACAGAGCACTTTTAATAGCAGATAACTTATAGAACCAAGGGAATGAGCAGCTACCTTGGTCATCAAAATCGCCATATTTGCACCACATAGACAATATGTGGGTAGGTCATTAGTCGCAGAATCAACGGCCTGCTTGCCCTACAACAAAACTGAACCAAATTGGACAAGTTTTAACCGTTGCCTGAAATTTTATTCCAGATTAAATTCTAAAAACCTATCCTAAGGAATGCCTAGCCGCTTGAAAACTTTGGTACCAGGAAGATCAGGTCAGGCATAACAGCGACTGTTGCTGTGACTAGACACTGACATGAGGGGCCTTTGTGGGGCGTGTAACTCTTTTAAATATGATAATTTGGAAAATATGGAGATCCAAAATATCGCTTTCAATGGTTGTCGTATGACTTGAAATAGTCAATGCATTTTTCTTTGCTTCACTGGCGAATTCAATTAATGAACTGATGCCACAATGACATCTAACAGATTATCAGAAGTTATTAAAACACGATTTTAATCCTTATTTTCATTTATCAGTCTGCAAAATAGGAAAAAAACTGATGAATTATGATTTGGAAAAAATATTCCATATTAAATGTCAAGTCTGTATATATATATATATATATATATATATATATATATATATATATATATATATATATATTGTGGTAGGAAAGATAAAACTCTTTTTAAATCGGCTGGCTTTTAGTTTTTTTTTATTGAACTTAGGTAATGTTAATTACAGTATATAATACTTCTTTTTTACCCCACGCTTACTTCTCTCTCTCACACACACACATACAAACACACATAACTACTACTGATGGCTCATCATTTTCATTAATAAATAAGATATTGAAAAGCACAGCATTTTTTCTAACACAAATAGCATTCGATGTCCCTAAAGGACAGATGTCCCCCATTTTTTGATTTACTGTAAATGTAATATTTTACCTGTGAAATTAATAAATTCAATTTCTCATCATTATTTCCAAGAATAATATCCGATGCAGAAATTTGAATATTGGCTCCCTTTTCTTCCCTAAACCAGTTTTCGATTTGCTTCCACAATTTTTTTGCAAGATTACAATCTATGAATAGATGTTCAATTGTTTCCATCCTTGGCTTTTAGTTTTCATTTAATTTAAAATTGATGTAATGTTTGCATGTAGTCCATTCGCCAATAAGCCTAATATATATATATAAAATGTAAAACTATAATATTCAAAATTTTATAAAATTAAAGCAAACTTAAACACGTACACATTTTTGTAGTCTATAAAGCCATAGCAGGAGAGACATGCCCCCCTCCTTTCAGAGTCAAGAAGCAGTGTGATGTGCAGTAGGTGTTGACTCATGTCCAATAAAGTGAACAGTTTTCAGTTTCATGTACTAATATATACATGTATATAAATAACAAGAATAGATGACAGCGAATTATCATACATATATATTCAGCATTAGCTAGATTTAATCATTATTGTGTTAGGTAACCATGGTAACAACTTAATTAGAATGTATTTCTGAAAATACAGTTGAAGCAATTCACAAATAATGTTTACATCAACATCTCTAAGCGTCCTAATAAAGAAAAAAATGTGGCAGGCCGAGGTTTGGTGGGAAAACCAACATACAAAAATGGACAAGAAAACGTTTAACAGAGGTCACGAGGACAGCAATGGATAGAAAGAAGTAGAGGGGCCTGGTCCATGGAGTGTGCCGACAATCTTCGATAATCGGAGGATCGGGACGATGATGATGATGATGATGAATTCACTATAGTTATTTATAGACATACAACTATCACCTTAATTTAAAACAACTTCTAATTTTCTTCTTTTGAATAATTTTTCAAAGTTCGTTCCATAATTGATGGCTATATAAACTTTCCCAGAAGTAATGAACATTAGAACATCAGGACCATGGTGGGTTACTCTGTATTATTATTTTTTTTTATTTAAGCTTCCATCATAGGTCGGTTATTTTGTTTTGTACCGATATATAGTCTGAAGATTGTACAATTCACACCTCTATAACTGCCGACTAACCCCAAACACAATTTGGTATTATCTGTTAGTTATATGGATGTAGTTCAAACAGTGTATAATGTTATTTGGTAGTTATGAAAACTTTTTAAAAATATTTTTATTATGTTTTCCAGGACATTATAAAACGCTTAAAGATATCCACAATATAAAGGTATTATAATCTTATTTTTTCGGACCTTAGCATATCGTTAACGAAAATAGCATGACCATAACGTTATCCTGTCATTCTCTACCATTACCAGAATATTATCATCTGATAACGTTATGTAAGACGCTATATGTTAGCTATAGCCAATATGTTGAACGTTGGAATAAACTTGTTATTCACTGTTACAACAGTGTTTAGCTCCTAAACACATTTCTAAGAACCTGATTTGTTTCTTTTTCAACGGGTTAAGCTGATAAACACGTTTAGTTCCCAAGCATGCCAAAACATATAATTGATACAATAAATAAATAAATAAATAAATAAATAAATAAATAAATAAATAAATAAGGGATAGTTCAGTTCTTATTTACTGCACTACTGCTGCGTCTCAGGGCAGTTTACGGACGCCTATTTGTATTTATTTTTATTTTTTTATTTTTATTTTATTTTATTTTGTTACCCTGGCTGTTGGTGCTACTGTCTTCCTTGGTTGGTTATAGCCCAGTATGCCGTATGAAGTGCTGAAAGCTAACAAACGAAAATATATTTCTCTGTCAGACCAGGAACTTTATCCCTGCTTCAACCCCTTAGTCCTGGGTGCCAAGCAAAGCAGATATCGTTTATAAAATGATACTCTTTATAAGCTCTAACACACCAAACAAATACATAAGTAGCATGTCCACTTTATTTGAATCAAATAAGAAACTAGTTGAAGTGGTTAATATGTGTTACTGAGGATCCACGCTCCATCGAGGCTCGGTTCATGTGTACCTTTAATAAGGAATCAGAATAAAATGCACTTTTATACCTTAAGTAGACCGAAAACATGGCCTTGGCCTAGGCTTGTAGGGAGGTTTTAGGCATTGCTTCCCTCAATTACAGGATTTTGGTCACTACTGTATTTTGGGGTATATTTGGAAAATAACCCTCGTATAACATTCAAAATATCGGAAAAGTTAGAAAAACGAAAAGGCCTCCCATATGTATTTTATGGTACATTTGAAAGATAACCTCCACATACCGTTCAAAATTCCAATAATTAAGTAAAACGATGTGAAAGTAATGCAACATATACCTTGTAAAATATGTTTATTTTGCTGACATATTTCACGTCATATTGGACCAAAATGTAAGGGCACTCTTACCTAATCATTCATTTTGTAAGATATGATGCATATATACACCTCCACTTATCTTTTATTTTACAAAAAAAAAAAAAATAATAAATAAATAAATAAATAAATAAATAAATAGAAAATAAATAGGGAGCACTGTTTTATACAATGCGAAGAGAAAGGTATTTTTAATCAATCCCAATATTCTTCTCATCGTCTAAACTACATTCGGATATTTTGTTTGTTAACTTACATTCAGTTACACTCATGTTGAACTACACTGTAAAAGCGCCTGTTTTGTCTCATTTTTTCAACGCGTTTAGCCCCTAAAGGCCCAGTCACAAATCAGTTGCGATGCGTCGGGGATGGGTAAAACCCGGGAAATTTGAACAAAATCTTGAGATAGATCTCACGATTTTGCACCCGTCGGAGGCGCTCTCCGGACGCCTGCGGGTTGTCGCAGATTTTTTAGACATCTCCACACCCGTCGCGGTCCCCAACTTTCAACTTAAAATTTTAAGATTGCTCGCAAGATTTTTCACCCATTTTGGGCATCCCAGACACAATCTCCGATGACCTACGATGCCTTCCGATTAATCGGAGGCGTCCTCCGAATAATCTGAGACTAGTCGCAAGATTCTGTGTGGGATTGGAAAATCAGGTTGAGATTCAATGTCTGCGAGTAGTCTCCGGCGCCCTCCGACTGAATCGTACGCTTTATGTGATCGTCTTCGACGAATCGTACGGTGGAATCGTAGTAAATCGCCGTGTATATAAGGGCGCCTCCAACCGGATCGCTAAAAGTTTGAGACGCTCTTGCTGCAGGAGGCTGTGACAGAAGATTTTGAAGATGCAATCGGAGGCGATCGGAGGCTAATCCCACGATTTTTCGACAAAACCGGGTCAAAATCCTTGAAAAAATCTCAGACAATGTGACTGCTCCACTTTTATTAGGATTATTGCTAGGACTGTTCAAGGATTCTTTATTTTCTACGACGACCCCCGGCCAAAACTAATCCCCGACAGATCGCCGACATTGTGACTGGGCCATAAGCACATTTAGCTCTTTAGCATGTTACACGCTTTTAGCCTGAATGTAGTATGACCCGATTGACGGCTAAATTTACGTAGGGTGTAGGTAGTAGAGTTTAAACATGACAAAAAACATAAGAATCATACAAAAGTTAAAAACGCAACTTCAGGATTATAGGGTTTCGAACTCCCATGAAATTACTTTGAGATAGTACATGTTCTGGATTCATATCGTTCTACTGCCTAACCACTACGTCAGAGAGACGAACCGACAATTCGACGATTTTACGGCGTAATTATATATATGCTCACTAAAGCATAGGCCCCTACTATTCATGTTATTGGCCTTAACCTAGTAGTTATATAAAGGGACGGACATAAAAAAAGGGCGACCCTCCATTTGGCTGACTGATGTAAACGGAATGCAGGTCCGCCAGGAATATAAGTCCTATCCAAATTTATGACAGGAATACAAGTCCCATTAGGGCTACTAATCCTAAGGTACAGTGGTCCGTAGTAACTGAGGTCCATTCTTTTGTATTAGAGATAAAACCTTCACTTTTCAGTGACTACATTTATCATTATTTACACACGTCATTTTATGGTGACGCCAGAAGTGCAAATTCGGGGGAAAATAAAAATAAATCGGTTTTTCGAATATCTCCTTTAATTTCATGGGCAGCCACGAACATTGTTTCAACGCCAATTCCATGACATCATATAGTGCTCCAAAACCCTGCCAGCGGCTATGGTTAAAAGAATGAGTTCAGATTTAACTACTGACAAAATAATAACGCCTTTGTTTAATAAAAAAAATCTTGGATTAGGAGCTCGTAACGCCGAAAAAAAATGAAGCTCATTCATTTGTGGACAACTTTGCCTATTCTCGTAATAATAATAATAATGATAATAATAATAATAATAATAACAAATCAGGGACGTTATTGTACGCACCATACCAGTGTTATCTCACCTCAAATTAGAAAGTTGTTATCTTGACGATAATATACAAAGCAATGGCAATAAAGAATGCAATGTCTTGTACGTAAACCAAACTGTATCATAATGTACAAATAATATAAACGCACTTCTTAAAACCAATTATCTAAATGTAAATACAATGGCAATAAAGAATGTGAGGTTTTCATCATCCCGCCGTTCCATTAGCTAATGTCTTCATCATCCCGCCGTTCCAATAGCTGTTTTCATCATCCTGCTGTTCCATTGACTGGAAGAAAGATGGATTAAAAAGGTAGTGGTTTCTTAATGGCCGTACGTCTGTTACATTGCCCGGTTGACAGTGATGTCAGTCAACGGATCAAAAACACAAGTAAACCCACCTTTGGTTTACAGTAAAAAAAATAACAGTGTGAACTATGAAGAGTCCTACATTGGTTGCAGATAAATAAGGTTTACTCAGCTTATAGGCCTGAATTTTAGCCTTTTTGATCCAAAATGATTCAGTATTAGTTATTTTTTTAATTAACATTGCAATATTGTGTATTGTGTATATCACGAAACAAGAGTACAACACGACCGACAGATGTTTACCATTTTGAAGTTTTTTCTAGTTTAAAACTGCTGACAGACCCATTTAGTACTATTATTCTTTAAAATAATTTCTCCTCGAGATGTGCGTTTACTGCTACTACTACTACACACATGCCTATATACCTGTACACTCTGACACAAACAGGCACGTTGACAGGCAAACAAAACGTATCCTACTTCGCTGTTTCTGTCTCTTTCTTTCTCACAAACGCACACACAGATAGAGATAGAGCACCCGAACACGCAGTCAAATGCACATACCAATTGCTGATGTCATGCAGATAGAGACCTTTTTTACATTAATTTTATTTTACAAGTACCTGTAGGCCCCGCCGGCCGGGTGGATGTCAAGCCATCTTTTTTCCGTTCCTCTTCAGCTTTCTTTTTGAACCTTTCTTTAAGAGTTTTCATGATGTCTCGATATTTCTTATCAAATATGCGCTGTTTTTTGTCCTTCTTTTCTCTCTTCTGAAGCGAAAAAAAGGCTGTATTGCTTAAAGTTCGAAAAAAGGCTCGTCTATCTATCAACAGTCAAGTTATTTCAAATAAGTTTAGCTTTTAAATAATTTTGAAATGTCTTGTAATTTATAATAATGGAATAATACATCTGATTTAATGATAATATAATAATATATGCACTACTAAAATATCGAAATACTTAATGTAAATAACATGTTAACAGTAGCATTTTATTGATTACACTTTCAGATTATTTCCTCAACAACCCCCTAGTTTTCTATTCTATTTAAGATATTTCAGCTATATTTTTAAGCAATTTTATCTTTATTGAAAGCTCAATAAAAGGTCGACAAGAACGTGCTGGGGTTTAATGTTACCGACAAACATATTTTAATATCACATCGATACGACAGTAAAAACCACTTCTCAAATTTATTTGAAAAAAAATTTTTTCGTTTTAATATTTATATTGAGTTATCAATTTGCTTAGTTTTGTCATCATTCAAGATCATTAAAGCCAGGACACACCTTTTTACTGGGTGCCATTTCTTGCAGGTGAGGATGTAAAACAACCATTTGGGACTAGGTATTAAGTTAAAGGGTATGGGGAGAGTAGATTCTTCCCCTATATATTCTAACCATAGTCTTGTCCTAGCAGCTTTCCATTCGATGTCTGCGTCGTTCTGTAAATATTTCGAATTAAGGAATTACGGCATTTCTGGTGAATGGAGAGGCTGTGCAAAAATAATTGATCGTGCTTCTTTGATCGTACTTTTAATCATTGAGATTATTTTCTGTATAATACTGCTCCGTTTCCGTTATTATTATTAGTATAATTATTATTATTATTATTATTATTATTATGAAACTATAAGACAAAATGCATTATACATTATCGATTGTTTTCAACATCTCATACTTACATGAATGGCTTCAAAAGAGATTGTCATCATAGCAATAAGCATATTGATCAACATAATAACGATGACAATATGGAATATAGCCACCATGATGAATCCCACGATCTCCACAAATGCGTGTTTCATGTGGATTTCTACAGAACTGGAGTCCCCCAAGCCAAAGATGGACCACATGAGGGTGCTAAATGTGTTGAAGAATCTGCAGAAACACGAATGTGCGGGACTTAATGGTCGAATCCAAACAGATATGCAAAAGAACCTTAAACAATGCTTTGCTGAATACAAAATAAAAAAAAATAATAATAAATAAATAAATAAATAAATAAATAAATAAATAAATAAATAACAATAATAATAATAATAATAATAATAATAATAATAATAATAATAAAATAAATAAATAGATAAATAAATGTACACAGAGGTGTTCACCTTTGAATGACATATGGTCAAACTGAACAATACTATTTGTTGTTGTCGTTAAGAAAATAATGAAAAATTAATTTAAAAATACCAATTTTTACAATAAACATACTAGAACCTGTTTTCATAGGGCGTTGGCTACAAATAGTTACCCGTGGAATGCAGAATTAGTCTTCGACCCATCAGGGAGTGTTTGGCCCGCATAAAAGTGGTAGTGGTTGTGCAGTCCAACAGTGAAGGCAATGAACACAATAAGCAGCAAGGCAGCAAAGCGAAAGACATCGTTGATCATCTTGCCTAAAAGTTGACAAGCCACGATTTATTCAAAGAGCATGAGTCACACAAGTCACAATGAGAAAGAATCCGACAAATAAAAAAACTCTCGTTTCAAGATTGACAATACTGTCGCTAGGAGGAAAGAGTGATATAGACCCCTTCCCCACATATTTTAGATCGATCTATCCCTGTGGAGATTCTCACTAGATTATCGGCTAAAGTGTCTGCCCCGCCTACTAAAAACTGTAAGGGTGTAATTAACTACCGTGCACGCTCGGCTGACAGCAATTTAGCGTGAACCCCCAGGGAGTTAGGTCGATCTAGAGTAAATCTATGGGAATGCATTCATACTCTTTTGTCAACTTAATTAACCTTATTGACTAAAGGACACTTATTTATACATGTACGTGTATTATTACCAAAGGCATAATTGCTTTAATCACTGTATACACGCTTACCCAAAACAACTAGAAGTGGTCCGACAGACTCAAAAGTAGGTAAAATGTACACTAGTCTAGAGAAACTAATGATGTTCGCCAACGCAAACAGGGCGTCTGATATTATTTCTGGATCATTTAGTTCCCATTCGAACCGACCTGAAATGCAAGAGTAAAAAAGATACACTTAGAAAATTGTTTATCAAAAACTTTAATAAGTTTATCAAAAACTCTAATAAGATACATGTATAATGGACAATCAACTAAGTTTTTGAATAGAGGATAGGAAACACATACTTACACTATTGAACACAATTAAAATATTTGGAATGAATTACATACTTTGAACCATGCATAGTTCAATTAATTCAGCTACACCAACCTATCTGGTAATAGTATGTGTACGCCTCTGTTGTAGTTTGGTTAACTTCCAATGCGGCTTGTCTTGTTTTGACAATCGAGACTATACGACTGACAAAGGAGGCAAGATAAAACATAACCAAGAGGATATCCAGAATGTTGAAGGCGTTCTGGAAGTAGCGCATTCCCTGCCGACACAACTGCTTTACCTCAGCTAAAAGATAGCCTATAAGATGAAATGCAATATTTAGTGTTTTAAATTTCAATTTAAATTAAACATTAAAATACTCCAGTCAGGGGCAATATACTCATCGGACAAGTAAGTGAGCATTGCTAAATATGAAGTATTATTTTCTTATTCAGAGGTTACTCATTATAAAATATATACAGATGAAAATAATTGATAATTTAGTTTACATTGTAGTAACCGGATTTTGTTGATTATAAATTTGATAGACTAATACTATGACAACCATGTCTCCGAGAAATTGTACCTATTTAATGCTACTGCAGAAAAATCAGATAGAACTGGAATATTAATAATGTTATGGTGTTGGCATTACTTTCAATGTATTTGTGTCTTACCTATCACGTAGAAAAATATTGCATACTCGGACCATCGGAAATCCTTGGCATGAGCGACATTAGCTTTATCATCGGGCAAAAAGTAAATCGTCAGGATCAGAAGAAACGTAAAGTAGGAGAAGCTATGCGTGTAAAATTTGATACAAGGAGTCCTCAAGAACATGTTGTTCCACTTGATGAATTTACTCTACAAAAAGAAAGAAATAATACGCTACACCTTTGTACTAGTGCCAACAATAAAATCAGCGACTGAGACATTTTCAGTTTTCATTCACGAAGAAATTGCGATCATCTAATAGCTTACGTCTACCAACATTCAACAATTAGGCCTACCGTGAAAAAAGTTTTTTACAGACCAGTTTAACATGGGTGTTGTGAGTCACCATATGCGACTGCTACAACAAAATATGGTTCGTTCAATCAAACTAAACAAAAAGCTTTCTCTTATGCCTTTTGGACCTTCATTTGTGTATACATAAGCGCCCGAGTCTGTATCGATGCACTTTGAGAGAATGGCAACTGGATTTTACATAAGATAATTACCCTAACGTACGCAGCTTACGCGCTTAACACTGTCAATTATATAAACACCTGCCTATCTCTATAAGTGTACCGGTACTAACTGTAAAAAGGGGTTCAGGAAATGTTTTAACATATGGCAATAAACCTGTTCAACATACCTTCTTCTCCAACGTTTCAAAGGATCCGAACAGAATGTAAGCCAGGAACAGCAGAATCCAAACTGGCAACGCCAGCACGATGAAGATTGTCTTCAGAAAGTTGTTTGTGGTCAGCATTCGACGCCTTATATTAGGATCGACGCCATAAAACACCATCCTTAAGTGCCTCTGGACGTATGGGTGGGCTACAAACTGAAATACGGTTTTAAAGAAGTGGCTTTAATTGCAGCTATCTGCCGAGTAACTATGTGTCTATTCATCTCGGTTTGTCTGTGATTTAATGCCACATGGAATATTCCTCAAACATCAGCCAAAATAATAGTTTCTTGTTACCTCTCTGATCCCTCAATGTTCACAACATACCGCATCTGGAAAAATATGTCATAGCACCTTCATATGGTAGTGCACTAAATCCCCCCTCTAAATAACTTCTGAAGAAACGACTTGAGTGTGGCTTCAGCTTTTCGTTTAGATGAAGCTGTTGCTGACTTATATTTATTTATTTTCAATGGCGTAGTAATGTCTTATTATTTGTGTGATAAAACATATTTCAATGACCAAAAAAGCATAGGTAACACAAGGTTTTACAAGTATTTTTAAGCTACAAAATATAGGGATCTGCAGAAGAGTCTCAACTAATACACCTCTTCTTAAAACATGCAGTAGTTAATTGTTATGAGGACCATTGTCTTTTACGTTGTACCACAAACACAACCGTTTACTCTCTTGGGATGTTTCTATATCCTTTCAACACTATATCTATATCAAAGGTGCATCCTACCTTCTTGGCTCCTTCGTCCATAACTCTTCGCACTCGCGCTAATTCTGAACACCCATTGGCTGATTTATCCAGGATCAAGGACAGCTCATCTCGACCCCGGACCAGGTCCAGCATCTCCCAGGCAAACGTCTCACATTTCTGGGTCAGTTTAAGATATTCGGACTGTGTGGAATGGAAAAAATAGGATATTACTTAAGTTGCATATTAATAGTTTTGATAATTTAGTTAACATTGTAATAATAGGTATTTGTTGATTACTTTTTTGATAGACATTTATAATTTTACCACAACTTTTTTTTTTGTTATCATAACTTTCTGCTGGGTGGCTGTAACTTTCAAATGCAAACTGTGTGTGTTGATGTGAGTGCTTGCGTGCTTGTGCATGCTTGCGTCTACTTTCACTTTTGGCAAAGCCAAAGTCCACCTACTTATCCAATTCCCATTGGAAATGTCAGAAATCCCCCCAAAATCCCGTAAAAATATCTTAAAGAAATTAACAAACAATTCAGCGTCCCTTTCTGTCAGAAATTATAAGGCAAACATTCTGATTGTATCTTATTATTGTTTTTTTTTTTTCAAAATGTTAACAATTTTTTTCACAAAGTACCTTGAACTCTTCATCCTGTTTCGCCATTGTGAACAGTTTTTGTCTAAACTTCAAAGCACTATTTACAGGATCTTTCTGTGTGAGAAGATATGACGATGACGTCATAGCTCTATACGCGTTCACACGATAAAGCGCGTGATTCAGCGTGTCGTTTCGGTCGAGATAACAATCGCAGAAATAATCGTGAGGATCGGTGATTTTCAAGTGCTCCTCATCCTTCAGTAGTTGGCAAACCTCGATGTCGTTCTTCATCGCCGCCTGTAGCATAGGGTTATAGCTTGTATCCTTCACTGATAACGACAACCATTGCTTCAGTGCCAGCTTGATCTCGTCTAGGTTCGCCCCGTCATCTATTGCCTTCCGAAGATTATCTCTACTGTGCATTGGACCTGATGTTTTGCCCGCAGTGGGCTTGTCGGGAGGGTGCTGCGGTCCTTCATCTTCGGAACTTGAGGTAAAACCACAGTCATAGCAAAGGATAAATTCTGAAATATGGGATATGTTTTGCAGCTTTGAATAGCAGTTCGTGCAGCAAAAGAAGACAAATACCCCCCCCCCCCCCCTAAGAAATGGATTGCTTCATGTTATCTTGTGCTCGGTCTTCTACATCAACATAAGCTTCTTTCGCTGTGCACAATGTATGTTCAAATTGCCCTCAGCTGATACATTCAACTTGAGAAACTCGACAAGAAGGCTTAAAAGAAACACTACAAGAGAAAATACCACCTAAAGCCCTTTGGGTTTACACAAACGATTGAACAATGATGCGGTATTTATTCACGTTTTAGCACCGCTCTTGAGAGAGAGAGAGAGAGAGATTGTATGTGGACAATGTTATGTGGATGGGGAGGACGTGTGTGTGTGTGTGTGTGTGTGTGTGTGTGTAAAAGTGAAAGAGAGAGAGAGAGAAAGAATTAGAAATGCACGAGTACCTAAAATAATAACAACACTTACTCCTTTTTTTAAGCTTTGCTCTATATACGGGTTCTATATTGCCGTACCTCCCTCCATCTCCTAGAGTGGCAGTGATATCTGTGGGTAACCTACTGTGAGGGGCGGCACCAATGGGGGAGGCATAGTCCCCCTCGTCCACGTTCTCAACAGGCGCACGGGGCTCCTCCGGTGAGGGCTGGTCTGAGGGCTTCGACGTTGCAGTCTGGTTGTTTGAAATTTGTGACCGGTCTTTGCTTGGGGGTGGTGGTGGTGGTGACGGTAGAGGGGGGACATGTTGAGGAGCAGCAGCAGGAGGAGGTTTTGAAATCGAGCCGAGGAGGGTTTCGTTAGCCACATCTACTTTGTCACCTGCGCCTCCCCGTCTGCCGCCTATACTTTTACTGGAACTGGAACTGTTTCTGGTAGATGGTGACAGAAGAGGGGGACTGGAGTCGTCAAGTCCCGGGGTTTGCTTAGAGAAATCGGACGGGTTAGTGGTCCTGGCATTAGAATCCCCCATGTCAAAAGTGGGAGGAATTTGTCCTCTCGGCCCCGGAGCTTCAGTGTCTATAAAACCACGATTATCGAAACTGCTTGTAGCAGTGTGTTCATTTGGTAACTGCTTCACCCCCTTCCGATCAACGCCCGACAAACTGGCGTTCTCAGCGTCATTCCCCTGACTGTCCTGTTGACCTCGCAATGGATCTTCTGCCAGCCCGATTTCCCCTAATTCCACTGCCTCGTCATTTTTCTGTGTTTTTCTATTTGGGAGTTTTCTTTTTAACCATTTTTTTAATCGGGTGACTTTCTCTCCATCCGGGACGTCCTTGCTGGGGATGTTGGATGAAGTCGATGATTTCTCACTACTGTCGCTGTCGTCCTCTGTTTCTGAGATATGTTGTAAAATGTCCGCATCGTCGTGCGAAGAAAAATCGTTTCCCAAGAGAACCACGTCTAAATTCCGTGCAAAGTCACTGCCGAGAGGCCTTTTATTCGCCATCTGGAATTATCTGAAAAAAAAAGTTTTTTTTTTCTGAAGTTATATCAAGTGTTACGTGACCGCATCAGTTTGTCTCTCAGAATTAAACAGTGAAGTATGATGCTAAGCAAGACACAGTTTAGAAACTTTGACACTGTAAGAGAGAGAAAAAAATAATTATCTGCTTTCGGAAGTAATGTAATGAAACAAAAATTTTAACAATAATAATAAGACTACAATTTGACAGTAAAGCGTATATGTCAATCATATTGAAATTTTACTTTAACTTAAAATGGCAAAATAAGTAATGAGAATACTTTTTATAAGCTTAATCTGAACTTGTATAAATTCAAAAATGAGATTGTCAAGGAAAATAGTAAATATCATACTCAAATTATGAACTTAATTGCATATGATTTAGGTGGAGATGTGGAAAATCTTATCGGACACATATACTACAAGTAGAAAAAGTTGTTTCTCAGCATCAAATTGATATAGTAAGAATTGATTATGAACACCCTAAAAGATCAGCTGAAAATACTTAAATGGAAACTCTTGAATCTTCAGATATTGTCACCCTTTTAACATCTGGTAATCTGTTTGAAGCATATCAACAGCATTCTGATACCAATCAGATTGAATCAGATCTAGAAAGTCACTCTGATATTGAGTAAGATCTTAACATGACGGTCCTCTCAAGTGATTCCATATCAAATGGTGAGAGTAAGACAGCAACACCATCTATCTGAAAGAGTTTTCGTGAATGGGCAGTAAAAATTCAAATTCCACAAATAGCTACCGGGGTATGGAAGCCAATTTTGAGACCAGTTATGCCAGAATAACCAAAAGATTATCGCATCGTAACGAAAACACAGCAGTACTATGATGTGTTTTATCAATATGTTTTAACTATGTGTTTAAAATATATATATGGAGATGGTAACATCTATTTTGGAATATTCAAGGGAGTTCAAAGCTTCAGAATTATTTTCAGTTTGGATTACAAATCCACGTGGATGGACTGTCTTTATATAAAAGCACAGGCCATCAGCCTTGACCAATTCTACGAAGTGTGCGAAGTTTCAGATACGTCATAGACGAATATAACGCATTACATCACAATGGGCTTGAATTGGACGGAAAACTTCAGTCAGTGATTTGTGATGCACCTGCTCATGTTTTCGTGAAAAAATGTGAAAACTTACACTGGCAATCATGGCTGTGACAAATGTGAATAACCAGGAAGGTAGTTAGCTAATAAGATTGGACATTCAGAATTAAATTCTACTTTCCGGACAGATTATTATTTTAGAAATCAAACAGACATAAAACATCACAAAGTTCTTCACAACTATTGGATGCACAGGCTGAAACGGTGAACCATTTTCCTCTAGATTATATGCACTTGGTTTGCCTTGGGTTCCCCCAAAAAAATGAAAAAAAGGCTCAGTAGAATTCCGTATTGGACCAAGGGCAGGGACTGAAACACATGTATCTTTAGCATTGTCAAATGAAGGTGAATTTGAAAAACAAACAAACAAACAAAAAAAAAATGTCAGAAATTGATATGTGGAAAGCTACAGAATTCAGGCAATTTCTTTTAAATACAGACTCGGACTTTCTCAAAAATATTATTCTTGTCAATTTGTATAATTTTTTTCTGCTGTTATCCATTGGTATGCATTTCCTTTTAAGTGAAACGCTGAATGCTACTAACGATAACTATGCAAAAGAACTACTTGAAATATTTGTGAAACATTACTGTGGAATTTATGGCTGCAAACGAGCAGTTTACAGTGTGCTGGGCATGGCCTTATTCACCTCTCACTCGACGCTCTAAATTATGGTAGTCTGGAAAACGTGAGTTTTTCCATATGGAAACTTTCTCTATCAGACTAGTAAGAAAATTAAAATTTTCGCTCCGACATATGAAGTAATGAAAATACTATCAGAAACAAGACAGCAAAGCTGTCAAATGTACAGACAACAAGAAAGAAAAATAATTCGATCAAGCTGAAAATAAAAGTGTTAACTACTTACTGTTATTCATCATTGCCAGTAAGAAAAACACTTAGCCCTTACACTATGCCTCAATTAATTACCATCAACCTTTTGATGTACCTTCGTCCACAGATCAGGGCCCACTCAAAGTATTTTATACCTAATAGGTGTATTAGAAGGATATTTCGTTATTTCTTGTTGTACTATCCATATGTCAAGGCCCACTCAAAGTGTATTTATGGCTGACAGGCATGCCTAACTGACCTCCGATAGGTATTTGAGTTTATTTAAAATGAGTTTATTTCCATTTGCAACACCTTATTACACAAAACACAAGCACAGATTTACAATTTATTGTAATCAACTAACAAGACTGTTAAGATGCTGAACATGGCAAAATGGCACTTAAACATATCTAAATAATTCAATACTGAGATTGTTATCATGCCTAAATGAATCAGAAAAAAAAAACACTTTTAAACAAAAAACAGCATAATTTTTTGGAAAATTGGGTCTTTCAAGCTTATTTTCGAACTTTATCTGTAATCCATGAATATTTATCAGTTCTGTAAGATTGAAGGCAAAAGGTAAAACAGTTTTAAAAACAGCATCACTTTTTGAAAATGGTCCGATCAGGTTGGTTTTCGAACTTGACCTGTATTTCATAAATACTCATTAGTTCTGTACGTTTGAAGGCAAAATAAAAACCCAATTTTTATTTTATTTGTATAACGGAGGATCGGATGGGCTAAAAAAGCAAAAATAGCATAACTTTTGAAAAAAAAAAACAAAAAAAAAACGGTCCATGACACACGTATTTCGCAAAAATAACTACAAGGTATGTGACTTAGTGTACCTGGCTGAGTCCAAAGCTAAAACGTTATAAATGAAAATCACCTTTTGTTATTGTCAAAAAAAAAAAAAAAAAAAAAAAAAAAAAAAAATGCTGCTTTCAGTGAAAGGCAAAACGCAGTGTAAATGAAGGTACCAAGGCCGGCTTAAGCCATTTTAAATGACCATGCAAGTTCCAGCTTGGGTGTCCAATTTGCAGAAATGTGTACGCAGTCCCCTGGGAAGTAAAGGAAGTGTCAGTAAAACAGGAAGAAGTTGGGTGGCCAACCCAAACAAGTGCACATATCCAAGGACCAAACCTGACAAAAATACATGTATGAATAAAGAGGGTAGACCTCACAGGGATATAAGACTTCCCAAGAGATGTGTTGATTGACCGTAATAGACTATGCTCTGAACTTTAAAGTGGCCATTATTATTAATCATGCAGGCTATGAACTTTAAAGTGAACAGTATTGTTAATCAGGTCAAATAAGTTTAGAGTGATTATCATGATTAATTCAGTTTTGAACTTCAGTGTAATATTACTATTTATCAAAGTGACAATGAACTATTGAATGAACCTTATGAATGAACTTAACAGTGACCATGAATTGACTGAATTTCAACTGCTGATTACTTTAAGAATATTTTGAGTGTTAAATGGTTTTACGTGTAAATGTCTAATGAGCCAGATTCCAGGAGGAATCAGTAAACTTAGAGGCGTGGTGTGTAACGATTATGCATAGTCTTATTTCAGGGTCAAATAACTGTAGTAAGTTATAGCCTTATGTTTACTCAGCAAGTCTGGTGTTGAACTTTGAACATTAAATTCGAATGGCTTGTGTCAGTTTACTAAACAGGGGCTTGTTGTGTCTAGAGGAGGGGTTGGCGGTCAACCGTTCACTTTTCCCTGCTTGCCAGTCAAGTTTGCAGTGTAGACAGTTAAAACTCCAGGCAGTAGACAGCGAAATAGCTGGTGCCAGATACATGTACATGTCACTTGTCAAGTGTTCGTAGACAATAAAAGAAGAAAACCACCTGAAGTGTTGTGCGGTTTTCACAGATCAGAGTAAGCCGCACAGGTGGCAGGAATTTAATCTACTTAAAGAAAATCTCGATAAGGTTTTTAAAAAAGAAAAAAAATAACATAAAATAATAATAATAATAATAATAATAATAATAATAATAATAACTTTGATTAGGGTAAAGACAGAATCTTACAATTTATTTTATGTAAAGTCAACCACATCGAGCATCTAAGTCTATCTGATTGGCCTTAACATGTAATTACGCCAGGGGTTTTATTGTTCCAGGTCATTAATCCTCATTTAGTGCAGTCAAATGGTCGTGGGGGAAGGGGAAGGAGGGGCTTCTATCATTATACTGTCTTCATACACAGCACTAAACATGTACCACGTAGGCGGATATCTTGCGTGAGCAAGTGGGGAAAAAACCCCTTTATTAAGCAAGGCCTCGCTGTGTTTGAAACTTGTCAGAGACTTAAACAATGTAATCTGAAGATAATGCGGTTACAATGACTTACCCTTGTGAACCTTGTCGTGTTTTAAGCGTGCACAAATCCCATGTCCCTTCGCAGCGCGTACGTTAAGACGTGTATTCCTGAAGCTGATGCCTGCATTCTCTGTGCGTCTTGTACCAACACGACACAATGTACGTGACCTATTTCGACATCAATAAGCGGTTAG